CGCACCTTATTATTCATCAAAATATGTAAACGCCTCGTAACCGGGTAAACCTCGAAAATAAACCGGATTTCCATACAAAACTATAGGGGAATTCACTCTTCTGTGTATTCGTGTAACTGCATGAGCGTGGGATTTGTTGTTGCTAGCGGTAGATCAAATACACATGCAACAACAACCACACGCTCGTCTACACTTACGTTTGGTAGGCGCCACGCTCCTTTTTAAATAGCCCCAATTTTTCTCAATGAGTACGGGACTGATTTCATATATGGGTGCGTTCAGAAATTCATCATGCCAAAGCATCAGTCTCTTTTATTTCTAATCTATAACTGATAGAAATGTCAAACATGCGCAACCACGCTTAAAAGCCGAATTGTAACTTAGTTGCGTAAATACGACATTTCCATCAATTACAGTTAAGAAATAAAAGAGACTGATGCTTCGGCTTGATGCATTTCTGACCGCACCCTTTATCCATACAAAGTTCCAATACTCTACTGTGAACACTTCCAGAGATAACACCGTGCGACAAAAACCAAACATTTTTAAAACACAAGTAAAAATCAATATATTCACTAAACAAGAAGCCAAATATAGTATAACTGCGTTTTTAATTTTTCTCTCTGACGTCAGGATTTTTTTTAAAGGACTTTGAAATTTTCGGGATATGCTTGAATAAAAAAATTACTTAAAAGATTTGCAGATAATGCAGAGTAACAATATGGATTGGATATCAATTAAAAGAAAAAAATCTGTAGAATTAAGAAATAATAATTTTATAAAACTTTATCCTTGAATATCCTTAGAAATTTCCAATACTTATTTTAGGAAAAAATATATGTCAAGGACTAATATGTAAACTACCACATCCTCGAATTTCGTCCTTCTAATTTTATTAGTTTTATATAAAAAAATCTTACACTTCTCCTTATAAGGTATTGATATTTAGTTGCAATATACATAAATGAAGAAACTGTAATCACTACACTGTACAGCACTTGGCTGGGTATTGGACCAAACCATAAATAAATATAAAAAAAACTAAAAATACAGTCGTAGACCGCCTTTTGCTCTTATTTAAATGGTTTATAACCTTTTTATATGTATACGTTTTAAATTCTTGCACTAAACTTTCAGCTTTTTAAAAACGATTTGACAAAACAAAAAGTATAACGGGTGGTGCCAAAAGCGGCATTCACGAGTCTGGAGTCGATGTAGGTCGGAATCGACTTCCTGTGAATACCGCTTATGGCCTGTTGGTATGCTGTCCGGTCCAGAGGTTGTTTTATGAACCTCTGGACTACGTCCGTCATGCTCCTTGATGAAGACCATCTGTGCCTCGTCGTTTAGGTCGTGTTGAGGCGACATCAGAAGGCATCCAGTCGCGGCCAAGTGTTACGTAGTCTGGCATGTATATAACTTCGTCCACTGCATCCTGCTAGTCCTCGGTAACCACACGGGCCCTGCATTGTTTAGAACCAGCCGGCCAATTTCCTTATATTTTGCCCACAACTTTTATTTGTCTTTGCCCCAGGTGCTGCCGACTAGCGGCTTGAAGACCGTGGACTATTGACAATTGCGGTTGTATGTATGCGCCGCGAAGGAGAGCAGGCGTCGGAATTGGTGGTAAAAATGGTTGCCCAGGAATTCGTAGGGAATAGTGTTTGGCTCCTTGCAGTGAAGAAGCGAGAGAGTTCGGAGAGGTAACCGTTTACTTTCGAGCACATGTCACCAATTCCATTCCCGGATTCCATTATCAAGCATATAGGAGACAATTGAGACTCCGTCAGGTGGTTGGGGAAGTTTTGATATGTAATAATAAAGCATCAGCGGGGAGAGGACACCACCCTGTGAAACCCTCTACTTAATTCTCAGTTTGCTGGTTTTGTTTCTAAAAAGGTCTGACGAATATCAATCACTCAGATAATTCGCCGACCACCGTTTGAGTCCCTGTTGGCGAGAGGAAGCCTTAATGTCTTCTAGTGGCGTGGAGTGACTGACAGTTTCAAAGCCTTTGACATATTCAACGCAACTAGGACTGTTTTCTCACAGGGGCGGTTTTGGGTCAGGCCACGAGTTATCTGAGTGTTTAAGGCGTTGAGTGCTGTTGCAGTGCTCACTGGTCCCTCACTGCGGTTGGGTAGTTCGTTTAGTTCGGTGTCTTCGCTACCAAGGAAAGGAGGATTATCGGGCTAGGACTCTCGCTTTTTCGTTTCCCCAGTTTAAGCAGGGGGACCGCTCTTCCATTTTCCAGATGTCCGGAATGATGAGGGGGCCATAGACAGGTTGAGGTGCTTCGTAAGGCAGTCTGCTCCCACGGGACATATTCTGTCGGTCCTATGGCTTTGGAGGCTTTCGCCTTCCCAATTGCTACCTGAACCTCCTCGCTGGTGAAAACAATAGGCACACTAGGTGTTGGCAGTTTGTGCAGCCTTCTGGTCACTTGATGTTTGGTTTTGTCCGCCGGGGAATGCAGCGTAAACTGTCGGCTAAAGTAGCTTGCGCATCGCTCCGGGTCCCACGAAGCGAAGAGATTTCCTCTCTGTCGTCACGCTTCGTAGGGTTGGACAGTGACTTTACGGTTGACCAAATCTTGCTCATACCAGAGCAGAATTTACAAGTCTTCAGATGCTCTTCCCACTTTTTTCACTTATGTACCTTCACGAGTTGTCGAATCTCCGTATTGAGATCCCTGATGCGGAGATTGCCGGGATCGGCCTGACGAAGGTTGTTACGCTCATCGGCTAGAGAACCTACGTGAACTTCGATTGGTGGGGGGAGGACAGAGAGGGTGCTTTCAGTATAAATCTAAAAAGGACTTGTTGAATAACTGGTTGCGCGTGTTTGCCAGGGCGGGACAATGGCAGAGATAATATTGCTCTCCACCTCTTCCTCGTCTCTGCAACTGCGTCAATCTTTGGTGGGGTATCCTAACTTTTTTCCGTGTGTGACCATCAGGCAGTGTTCGGTGATAACCCCAACTACTAATCTGAGAGAAGAGCGGTCCAGCCGAGTGATAGGTATTGGTCGCTTTATATCAATCTTTGGCCAAATTTTCTTGGTAGTATGGCGGATGGTTTCCACAGCCCACCTGGTATTTACCTCCTGTGTTTGCAGAAGCATTTTGAGCAGAGTTGATTTCAGATATTTCCGTCCCCCTCCTTGCCACTTCGTCGGCTATGAACTTGCCAGGAATTTTCCTGTGTCCAGGGACCCTTAAAACAGTCAAGGGCTTATTAATTGAGATGATTATGTGTAGACGGTCTGATGCAAGCAATAGCTTAAATAGGTCGCTCACGTGATGCTAGTTATCAAGCTTGTTAGGTTAGACTAGCTGGTGAGGCGTCGTCGTTCATGGTGCAGAATGTCGAATCGTCTATCTGGTTTGCCAATAGGATTCCCCTACGATCATTTGGCAGCCTTAAGTGCCATTGATCCTAGTGCACATTAAAGACACCTACTACTATACGGTTTTCACCTCAGGGGAGCGCACCTATGCCATAGTGATAACCTGCTAAGCAGCAGGTCACGGGGTCATATAATCCTATATTCTGGTTGTCGTAAGTCGCGCGCATCGACAGTCGTTCCTTGAACTAAGTTGGATCGCAGTTATCAATATGCCACGCCGACCCATAAAGACGGTTATTTCTTCAATTTTGCTCTGGAGTCCGTTGCAGTTCAGTTGTTGAATACTTTGGGAGTCTGATCTCTGTGCGGGGGGTGAGAGAAAAATGAGGCGATCTAAGCGGGAGAGTTGGATTTTAGCTTCTTCGCTTCCGCGGTTTGCGCGAGTTTGGAGGCTGTGTAGGCGGAAACCGAAGCCCCTGGTAGTTAGTACGATTTACGGGGGACGCTGGTAGGTGCACTTGGCGCCGAAGTCTCCCTCCAACTACAAAGGCAACACCAAAATTATGATCCTTTACATGACTGCTGTATCAAGCGTCGCAAGGTCTTATGCTTTGTCTACTTTGCCCCATTAACCGTACGGTCATATGCATCTTCCCCCGTACTTCAGATAGCACTAAGCAGCCCATCCGTTAAGGTCAAGCCGCCTTCGGTCATCCAGCGGCCCTGATTGCACTGGAAGTGCCCGACCTGGGCCTCTTCTTGCAGTAAGGTTACTCCTCGCGCGGTGGCGTGGACTCAGATTTGCTTGAACTGTCGTGAATAATTGGTAACTTCTCACAGATTCTCCTATCGTGCCTGTTAGTGATCACATGCCCACTGGTTCCCTCCAAAGCCTTTTCTTGGTAAATACGAGGGCTGATTAAGCGTTCTCCTCACCATCGTAGTCCTTTTTTCTTTGCTGTTGTTGCTTTTTTTGCGTGGGTTGCTCCCGTTGGCCGTTGGGTGCACGAACGCGGACGAAAATCAGCATAGCAATTTTGACTGCATTCCCAGAAGACACACCGTACCCTATTGTACACAGAGATACGAAAAAATAACTTGTATCTATAAATTTCTGTTCCACCTCCTTCCAGTTAAACTTCTTTAAACTTATTTTAAAATAGTTTTATAAATATTTTAATAAAACCAAGAATTATTACTTGCTTTAATAATTTATTTTCCATATTCACAAATTAAAAATGGCATTGGATATTGTTATGCACAGTGCAGTGAACATACAGAAATTCATAAAAGTATTATTGAGCAGCGAGTGCAAATATTTTAAAACAAACAAACTTCACAAGCTTGGGCCTATAGGTGCTTGCGCATGTATGTACCATTAAGATCAGCAGTTTCAGAAGCTCGGAATATCTACTAATATCAGATTATGTATGTATAATTATGAAAAATTAAGTTTATGCGTAAACCGAAAGTAAATCTTGCTCGGTTTCATTCCTTATCCTTGTTTCTCCTTGTTGTATGTGTATGTCATCGGCATGTATGTATGTACTTAGCTTGAGACTCGCGTTTGCCAATATTTAAAAAACTCCCCAAAACTTGCCGCCTGTTCATGATCGCATGCCTATTCATACATATGTACAAATGCATTTACATATGTATGTAGCATTGCAGATGCATTGCATACAAGAATATATTTTATAAAATGTATATTGTATTTTTCTTGGTCAACAGAAAATCTTAAAAATGTACACATCTTGATTCATATTGCATTAGTACTAATAAAAAGTTAAATTAATTTGTTTGTTTATTTTTAATAATCAATTTGGTGATGATAGGTGCGGAGATTGATAATATGGGATATAAAAGGAATTCTTCACGCTTGCACTCGATTTAATAGTAGTTTCCATATCCGCTCCATTGTCCGTAATTGCCATAACTAGAACCATACTGCCAATGGTTATAGTAGCCATCATATGATTGCTGTGCTGTGTAGGCGCCACTGTTTTGTTGACCATAATAAGCTGAATTTGCCGAATTATAATTATAACCCGAAGCGGTAGCGGTGACGCCATTATTGTATGCTGATGAAGCAGCAGAATTCGACATTGACAATTCTTTGCTGCTCGAAGAGGATTTCCGCGAAGGACTCGATTCGCTGCAAATAAAAAAAAATAACAAATTCACACATACATACATATGTATATTATGTTGGTTCCCATTTCATAAAAAAATACATATTTGCATAGTCTATTCAACTCACCGCTTCTTCTTAGCTTCAGTTGCTTTACTTAGTGCTACTTGTAGTGCCCTCTGCGCGTCTTGCAAGCCCTTCGCTGTGCTACCAAAATCTTCCAAAAACTCAACTTTGCGCTGTGCAAATAGTACTTTCTGTTCGGGATCCATATTTTCACGTGCCATAAATTTATCCATAATTAGCACAACCTCATCCTCGTCCACCTTTGGGCGCTGCAAAACCAGATCTATCATTTGCAATGCCACGCGTGTATTCGCAGCATCTTTGTCTAGTGCCTGTCGCAGCACACGCAGTCCACCCTCCAGATCATCGCAGATCTTATTCAAAAATCGGGCATACTTGATCGCTAAACTGCCAGCGATTGTTTTATTCTTTGCAGTATTTATATAGTGTTCATACAGTTCACGACATTTATTCATGTCGCCACGACGACGTTCCACGTTAATGCGTCTGTATGCGACCTGCAGTAGATTTGGACATTTCTTTTCAAGATTTTCCAAAACTGCGGCGGCGCGATCAAAATCGTTTTGACACTCTTCAAATGCCGCCCACATTAGATGAAGACTAGGTTTGTCGGGGTGATGGATTTCGCAGGCGCGACGGTAAACATCACTGGTAATAGCTGCGATACCAGGCTGGTCTAACTGGGTCTCAAGATAACGTATCATTTTTAGCCAGAATTCGTCATACAAAGCACACGCGATTAGACAACGTTCGAAGAGCACCAAGATGCGGGTGCGATCGCCTTTTTCGATTTCAAAATCGAGATAGTCTTTCCAATTCTTCAGCTGGCAGCGTTCGAGTGGCTTCACATGGAAATAGGGGCGTTTTATGCCTTCTTCAAAAGTCCACCGAGCAGTCACTGCAGCAACGGTTGATTTATGTAATTTTCGACGAATCGAAATAATTTTGTCTTTAATGGCTGTTTCCTCCTCTTCAGTAAGACTGCTTACATCAGCGAGATCCTCCTCCTGGCTGACTTTTTCGGCGGAAGTTGCAGCGTCGTCTGTCTCATGGTCAACTTCGATTGATTCGATATTAGATGGGACCGGTGTTTCCTCCTGATTAGTTTCAGCATCTTTGGCATTTGGCGATTTGCTGCCCGGTTCATCGTCTTTCTTCACGTCACGGTTTTCACGTTCCTTTTCTTTTTCCTTGTCTCTGGAACCGCTTCGTCGACTCTTAGAACGAGACGATGAAGAACGGGATGCATTGCTTTCACGAAGTTCAGTGCGAACTTTCCGCAGTTCTTCAGCGGTTATAGTGCTCACAATGGAGTGTTGATTTATCAAGTCTTGGAAACTGAAAAGGCAGATTAGAGTATGAAGACTGCAACTCAATGGCAAGTTTTTAGTTTGCTAATTTCAATTGGTGTTATTATAACTTTTATGAAACTCCTTAAAAAATGTTAAATGTCTATAATTTTTAAACGTTAGTCATTAAATTTGTTTTCAATTCAATATAATAGCATTAAAAAAAAAACCTAAAATTGTTAAAAAAGTAAAATGTTTTATAATTAAAATCGCAGACAACTTCAATACTAATGAATTTCAAGGGCTAACTCCCATTTTTTGTAAATACGCTTGCGAATGGAGTTTCATTGTAAACACATACATATGTAGTTATTCATGCCTTCTTGGTTATTGGGTAAAGAATGTATTCGAATAAAAAATAAATTATTGGTCAAATTTGAAAAATCACGAAAAAAGGCGGCTTATTAAAATTTAACTGATGAAAACTTCCATCAAGCTAAGCCTAACAATATATGTATTGTTTTACATCAAACTGTAAACCCTCTTCTCAAAACAAGTTCAGTTTTTAAAATCGGATGAAAAAAAGTTAAGCTGTTAATAGACAAAGTGCATCAAGTACGAACATAACTATTAAAAAAAAAAATGGAGGGTTCAGGAACTATACGGAACCTAACCATAGCTGTAACCTACACCAGTTTTTGTTTCGGGTGTATTTCATGATTTTTTTTTGTAGCGCCGTATAACCTATATAAGCAGGAAAGTTTTACTACTTACAATGTATTTAGTGTTCGAACTTCTAAATTCTTTAGTAAAAAAATTAACTGCCGTACGAAAATTAACTCGCCCTTAAATACATATGTACAACAATCCTTCTCTTTTACTTACTTATCAAAATGTCCACTGTAGCCTTGAGTCGGAATGGCTAATAAACGATCGTAGATCTTTACAACATTTTGGTAATGCTTCGATTCACTTTCCCATTTAATGTAGGCATCCCAGAGCTTATCAGAGCGGAACTCCAGACCGCAGGCGTCTACAGCACGTTCAAACTGTGAACGAATATATGATTCATCCTCTGCATGGTTTCCCTTTACATGTGCTAGATAATGGATCCACAGATCCACAGACAAGGGGATCGCTTCAAGTCCACGTTCAAATACCTAAATGTTAGGTATTAATTTGCATTGCATTACATATTATAGTATTATGCAGTTGTTGTGCATTTTGATTGCAGTTTTTAGTATTGTCGCCATAACGGATTTCAGAACGCGGCAAATTAAAAAAGAGAAGAAAGAATGTTGACAAAAGTTTAGTTAACAAAAAGTAATCCACTTACTTAGCTTGATTCTGTTTTGTTTCGTTTTGTGCGTGTTTGTAATATTATTTAAGGAAAGATGGAGAGGAAAGGACACAGTTAAAAAATTATAAAAGAAAACTATCTAAAGGTGGTGTGCTAAATCTCTTTTAAGGGCTTGCTAAGCCAAACGTGTTAAAAACGTTCTTGCCAGTCTCCTCAGATAAGGCTATTGTGTCTATTTGAAAGAATATTTTTATATGAAGCTTACATAAAAATGCGGCGTAAAGATTCTTAAAAAAAGTTGAGGCTGAATGGAGTTTGACTCTAAAACGTATTTTAAGCATAGCACTTTGCCCCAAACCATTTCGTGTTAATGATTGTTGTGAGCTTTTGCTCTTATGTTGGGTTCTCCTTGTCAATTAAGTAACCCGGAATCATCGGGAGATACCCCAAAAGCCAAAAGGATAATTCGACGATTTCTACAGCAAAACCAAATAAACTCGAAAAAACCTTAACATTGAGTAATATTTTGGCGCTTACGCTTTTGCTAGGGACTACAGGGGCCTACAGTTTTACACCGCCTCCGAACTGTAAATGGATTTAATGTAGAAATACACTCGGTGATTTGCCGTTTCCTGCAAATGGGTGACCGTTATTAGAAAACTGATTCCGATATAGATGTTGGTCGGACCAAGCATCAAACCCAGGTCCAGCGGAGTGGTAGCACGCACCTCTAACCACTCAGCCACAGAATACTCTCCAATAATTATATTAATTGGTATGACAATAAAGTAAACGTACTAAAAAGGAAATTAAGAAGATTTCGCACATTAACGTATGCGGGAAATTATTTCTATGATTCTGTCTCGTTTTTATGGTGGAGGTCGTATATATCTTTTTGAAATGAAAGGAAAAGGAACTTGGAAAGGAATTAAATGGGACCACACGCATTCAACAATACACTAGTACACATTGTTTGCGAAGCTGGAATTTACGATTATATATATATATAAATACAATTTATTTATTTTTAAAATTTAACTTAACTTAGTAACTTAACACAATAAATTTCATTTCACAAAAATTTCATTAAAACGCCATTTGTACTTACGCATGGCCTGTTTGTGACGCATTATGCAAAAGAAATGCTCTCGCTGCCTTTTAGATAAGTGTAGTGCTGACAGAAAACATGGAATTTTTTCTTTGTTAACATAAAAAATAGAATTTAGTACTCCACACGTTGCGCGGAAAATTAAGATCAGAACTAACAACGACGCATTTTACTGTACTGAATTTAGGAAGTATAATAACGTGATTTAAAATATATAATCATTTAAGTCCCGCGAAATTCTATCTAAGTACGAATGTCATAGTTTTAAAGTGATTGTCTGTGCTAGAAAATCGCGCATTTAAAATTGGAAGTGAATTGGTGTCGAGCCATAGCACCTTTTTGCTTAAAGCAAAAAAAAAAAAAAATAATAAAATTTAAAACTAAACAAATTTGTCACATCGAAAAATATTTGTTATTGAAGAACATCGTTGCCCCTTACTCGATTTGAAATTTTTTGGTTTTGTAATTCCATTTATTAATTTTACTTTTTATTAAATTATAATAAATTGCATTATAAAATGTATAATGGAAAATACAAAATATCGCAAATATATTCATGTACGGAACTTGATCTGTACTCACCGCGTTGCAATTGGCCTTAATACCCTTGCGCTTTTCATAGTCAGCATACTTGCGCCAATAGCCATAGCAATATGGATAGTGCGATAGGAATGCATCATAAGCCTCACGTGCGGCCTCGGGATCAGACTAAATGATTACAAAGTGTTTTTTTTAATCTACTTATTAACAGAAAATATTTTGGTTGAAGCCACATAAGTGCAATTAGTGAACTTCGTTTAGCTTTTGTTCAAGAACCACACTCATGCTTCTGCGAGCAATTCAATTGCCAGAATTTGCGTACCTCGTTGTCAACATATTGCAGCAAATATGTCCAACCAGTGAAATCTGCGGGATCTTCTTTCACTGCACGCCAGTATTTATCTAAGTCAGGCAATCGTTTGCGTTCCTTTTCTTTTTCTTTTTCCTTATCCTTTTCTTTCTCCTTTTCTCTTTCCTTCTCTTTTTCGCGTTCGCGCTCCTTATCTTTCTCCCTCTTTCTCTCTTTGTGTTCACTCTCTATAAAACGGGCACGATATAACTTTTCATTCGAACTAAAAGTGTTAAAAAAACTTACCCCCGGAGCTATCCGCTTTAGTTTTCTTTTCTACTGTTATAGTGGGCGATCCATCATTACTCTCTGATGTTGGACTCATTGGATTGTATTGTTCATCGCTTTTTTTCTTCGAGTCCTCCACCTTACGTTGTTTTTCATGATTCGAATCGATCTTGTCGGCATCATCAGCTTTGCGTTTTTGACCAACAGGTTCCTTAGAAGAAACCGATTGTGAAGAATTACTTTTGATGGGAGTTTTCGGGGATGAAGGTGGTGATTTCTTCTCTGCTTGACCTGTTGCAGTAGGCAATTCATCCTCAGATATAACTTCAGCATCTGCAGGCAATTCAGCACGTTGTGGTGCTGGGAGCTCATCATCTGAGACCTCTTCTGCATCATTTATTTCGGGTTTTGTTGGTAAAGGGAGTTCGTCTTCTGAAACTAATTCCGTGTTTACAATAGTAGCATTGCTTGCATCGGCCCCAGTGCCAAGGTCTTCTGCAATGGCTGGTTCGGATAGCGAATCGTCCGATTCCATTTTTTCGCAATTTGGCAATTCTGGCGTTACTTTTGCTTCAAAGTCATCCTTCTTAACATCATTTTCTTCACCACCTCCTACCGAGGGTAAACTATTGGCATTGTCTCCTGCCAGAGAAGCTAATAAAGAACTTTCTACCACTCCAGTCTCAGCCGTACCTTCTTCGTTGTGTACATCTTCTGATGTTTCGGACTGGCCGCCTGTCGGCCCAAATGGAAACGAGGAACTTTTCTCGTCGAGTCCTGTTTCTGATATAACGGGCACTTCTGTGTTCACTTGCTCTTCTTCTGGCACAGTGAACATTTCAACATCTTCTTCGATCGGTTGTTGTTCTTCCTCCGCCAATTGCTCGTCCTCCGCCAATTGTTCTTCTTCCGGCAATTGTTCTTCTTCCGGCAATTGTTCTTCTTCACCCAATTGTTCTTCATACACAATGCAATCATCGTCGACTATTTGTTCCGATTCTATAATTTCCTCTTCATAAATTATAACATCGTCATCGTCCGGGATGTCAATAATAACACCTTGCGCTGCCTCTTCTAACATTTCTTTAATAACGTCTGATTGATTTTCGAGTGTGTTTATCGTCTCCTTTTCTGTAGGTATATGCTGGACTTCGTCCTCGTCTGTTTCTGTAACCTATTTGTTAAATAAGTATAATTTTCAGAAGTATTTTTAATCAATGTTATGTTAGCGCCACATGAATTTAGTTAATAATTCAGTTGGCCCTTGCATGAAATCACGTTAGCTATAGCAAATCATATGTAAGTGGAACCTCGCCACACTTACACAAACATGCATCTCTCATCAATATTGCATGATGTACTCTATTAATTAAGAATAAAGTTCTTTGTACTAACCTGTTCAGGTGCACCTCGTTTTGTCCTTCTAGTGGAGCGTACTGGAGTTGGAACTGCTGGAGGAGCTACAACTTTTCTGCCTGATCTCGTTCGCCGAACTGAAATATTTTCAATGGAACTAAATGAGATTAAATAAACTTCAGTTAAGGGCATAATGCAATTAATATTTTTTCGTTTTGCCACCAAATATGTACATTTTTATCGAACGATTCACGAGGCTCACGTTTTTATCTTTGTTCAGATGTCACAAGTACAAAATTATGTATGTATGTATAGACAGCGATGTCGAAATTTTCAGAAACAAATAACTAATGAAAACGAAAAGCGATATCCAGAACTTGTCTGAGGTATTTGATTTATTCGATTTTAACCCCTGTTTGATATTATACTAGATTTGATTAGAAGCATTTGGATAATTACCTGGATTTTCACCAGAAACGTTATCTTCTTTGGACGCCATCTTTTATGCAATACAAAAAGTAATCTAGATTTTTAATGCGGTGACAGTAGACAGGGTTGCTTCGTAGTAATTACACAACGCATCTAAAGTCGATAGTTAATCGAAATGCTTGTCAGGATCAGGGATGAAAAAGTGGGTACAATTGTATCTTTTACCGACGTTTGATGCATGATCCAACTACACAAGATCTGACAAGATGAAGCAAAAGAAAAAAGTAATTTTCTGGCTGACGTTTGTAATTTCGGTGCCATGTTATTTTCTGAGAAAAGTAAACAAAGAATATGAATACGAAGCATAAAGAAAAAATGCAAGCAATGTTGTGCACATGTTTGTGCTAACCAGTTTATTATTTTTGTACGTGTTTTTGCATCCAATCACCGCGCAACTTCATTTTAATTACATTTACACAAAAAATCACTTAAAACTAACTGAAATAAACCACTGACAAAATATACATAAAGAAAGAAGCAAAACAGAAATAGAAAACTTCAAAATTATGAACGTCACACACTTCTTTCTCAATGCTATTACAAATGGCTGCTTCTCAACCGGTCAGATCTGTTCTAATTGGTTCATGAGCATGAGTCATCATGGCATGTTTAGAGGTTATTCAATCGTTATGAGCGAAAACGTTTTCTGTATTGATTTACGTGTGTATTCTTGTAAATATTGTTAATTTTTTGCTTTTGTTAAATACAAACTATTACGAAAAAAGCATCCTTTGATTAAAAAAAATTTGGTGCTTTTAGTTTGGTAAAACGCCTTTCTGAAAACGTGCTTTCTGAAAATCAAAAGTCGGCAACACTGCTTCAAAGGTAAAATTTAAGGTACGACCGCACTAGGCGACGCGACACGACACTACACAACGCAGCAAAATATTCTTGGCATGTATTTTTATGGAGCATACCGCACTACGCTGTAGCGGAGCGGCAAAGTTGACCAACTAGGCAAAAATGTCGCGCCGCGTGATGTCGCGCAGTTCCGGTGCCGCATAGTGCGGTATACCTAGCGGAACGACATAACATTTCGTACTATATTTTTAACTTGAAGTAATTGGATTTCCAATTGTGAGTGAATATTCACATGCATTTCACAGAAAATTGTATGTAAAGAAACATAATATTTGAGAAGAATTCGCCAAGGAAAATAAAAATAAAAGGCATTAACATTACATCAGCGTCACTGGCATCCATCTTGTTTGAAGGTTTTGACACAAATAAATTAAAAAATTTGCAGCGAAGTGTCGCGCCGCTGCATTTTCAGTCTGATATACAGTGTCGCGTCGCTTAGTGCGGTCTTACCTTTACGCTTGAGAAAAACGTTCAAATTTGATTATGGATCACATCAACTTGCCTTTTTTACTCCTGTAATGGGTTGGCTTTCCTTTATGGCCGTTCGTTAAAGGGGCGGTGGGCGAAAGGTAAGTGTGCGTGGCACCTCTAACCCACCTTTTTGGAGAGGGAATGAACCGCCATTGACAAAAATGCAACCCCAGACCACCTAGGTCCCCTAGGGACCCCTTAGAAAAATTTCCAAAAATCACAATTTTCATTTGCGTTTATTCGCTTGAAAAATGTTAAATATTTATTTGCACAATACATTTTTATGTACACATTTTTATACACAAGACATTTTTATAAAACACCCAGTAACCAAAAGAGACATCACTGGGGCGGCAGCTCCAGGTTTACCACACAGAAAGGGAATTCTAGTTACCTCATCCTTTTCCAAGGTTACATCACTGGGGCGGTCACACAGAAAGGAGAATTCTACGTAGTAAGGGTTATAATCCCTAAGCGCGGCCGAAGGCCGCCTACGCAGAAAGGAATTCGACGGAAAAATACTGTGGACGCAAATAAAAATTGCGATTTTTGGCCATTTTTCTAAGGGGTCCATAGGGGGCCTAGGTGGTCGGTTGTTGCTTTTTTGTCAATGGCGGTTCATGCCCTCTCCAAAAAGGTCGGTTGGCGGTGCCACGCCCACTCCCCCTTCGTCACCGCACCTTTAACGAACGGCCATAATGGAAAGTTTCCCCCTTGTAATGCTTGATGTTTACATTTAGAGAGAAGATAAAAATCCGCCTTATAATCAAAAAATAGTAGTAAAATTGCATGTGTAGCGTCCCGGTAACTTAAATTTTTGTCAGCCACTTTTAACAACCAGTTTAGATAAAATTCTTCAATAAAACACTTTGAAACGTATTTTCGTGTTGAACTAAGTCTTCTTATTATTATTATTAGATTTCTGAAATTTAAATGTACAGTTGTTTCAATAATAGCACCAATTATTTTTACAAAGAGCAGGATACCCTGAATTTGTTGTCCAATGCTTCTTCTTCTAGGAAGCCGTTCACAGTAGCGTTGACAGGCTGGGAGTATAATTTTTCTTCTGCGGTGGTGTTTTCAATTTTTCACGAATTCATTAAATTAATGGATAAAATGTCTTAATAAAACGAAATTTAACCTTAGGTGTTGTTAACGAATGAAATTTGTGAAATAAGTATATCCAGAAACGAGGAAAAGTGAGCCTGTTGGCTTTCCAATTAGGCCACCACCATAATTATCCTTTATTTGGTGGACACCCGAGCGATACTTTTTAACAACGGCTTGGCAAAACTTCGGTTTCTGTGAGGATGTCGTTTGCATTTAAGATAGACAAAGCTTTAAAGGCGAACTTATATAAAATATGTCGACTCTGCGGAATCGATAGAGAGGAAAAAGTTGAAATACTCGATGCTGGGCCAACCGACCAACAACAGCCGGTGGATTGTGATGGCGAATTAAAGCTTCACCAAAAAATTATACAATGCATTGGCATCACAGTAAACAATAGTTCATAAATCTGTTGTGTTCACTTTATATTCTTTATGTCTCTACAGATAAGCAAAGATGACAAAATGCCTCAAAGCGCTTGTGTACTGTGTGTGGATAAAATCAATGATTTTTATGAGTTTCGTGAAATGTGTTATGCCACAGATGTACAGACTAGAAAGTTACTGGGTTTAAAACGCGAAACTCAGAAAAAGGTAAGTATTTAAATATTTAAATTAACATTTTCTATATGAGTTCAACTTTTTAAGAATGTTGTGGCGGACATTAAGCCCATTATTGATATAAAGGAGGAAACTGTTGTGAAACGTGGGCGAAAACGCAAGTCAGATGAAGTAGTAGCTAAGGAAGAAGCGCCGGAAGTTAAGCGAGAAACAAACCCAGTTCCGATCAGCAGCAAAAAACAACGTTTGAATGAGGCACCGACGGATGCAAAAAAGAAAGGAAAACTAGGGAAGAATTTTGATAAAACCGTAAAACTGATTGATAAAACAGTAAAACAGATTGATAAAACCGTAAAGCCTAAAGAGGAAATGTAAGTATGGACATATTTCTAAAAGTTAAAATTATGCTCTCTATTGTAACAAAAGAAAGATGCAGCTATATTTATTCAAACAGCAAATTATAAACATTATAATGGAACTTACGGGAAATGCACATACATTTATATCCAACAAATTTTATTAACAGAAAAGAAGAGCCTGCGGAGAACGTGAAACCAACTACAGCACCTAGTAGTGTAACGAAATTCCGACAAGTGTGCAACATATGCAATCAGCGCTTTGGTAGCAAAGTAAAATTGGAACAACATGTGGCCGCGACACATGTGCCAAACATTCCACGATACGTTTGCACAGCCTGTAATGAAACCATAAAGAAAACCAATGATATCAAGAGTCATCAGTTATGGCATAAATTATCTAAAACACCTTATATGTGCGGTCATTGTGGTCAGTCATTAATTAGCTCCTATGCATATTCCAGGTACGTATATTATTTAGAATTTTATGGTGATGATTATAACGAGATATTCTTCAACAAATTTATGCAGACATCTTCGGGATCACACCGTGGAAATACCGCCAAATCTATGGGTACTTGATCGCGAATGCCCACAGTGTCACCACACATTCTTAACAAACTTTCTCTACAATACACACTGTTGCGCAGTTAAGACCAAAAAGTGTGCTGGTTGCAATCGTCAGCTGCGTAACGAAGTAGAATATCAGCGTCACGCAGCGCACTGTAATAAAGTTTACTTAAATTACTCTAAACATATACCAGCTGCTGCCGCCGCTGCGGAATCCACTATTCGTATTAAAAACGAAAATGATGTGGAAGCAGCTGCTGCTGAAGCACTCGCAAGAAATGCTGGAATATCGCTAGACATGGCACCAGTAGTGTCGCTAACGCGCATCTCGACACCGGAAATAATTGCTGCGAGCCAGGGTAATAGTGTAGCAGAATATAATAATGAAAGTGCTGCAGCACTAACAGATGATCCGAAAACACCCGCAAAGAAAGGTGGTAAGAAAGGGGTCTCTCGCAAAGATCTTAAAAGGGTAGATAACTTACTAAAATCCACTTTGGATGCACTGGTGAGTATTAAACATGAACCAGAGGTGCACGTAGAAACGGATGCTGAGACACCTGCAGCAACAGGTGAGGAAACTGCCAATAAAGAAAAAGAATCAGAAGATACAGGTCATGACAACTTTCATCATGATGATGATTTCCATCATGGCGATAATAATGATGATGAAGATGACGAAGGAAATAGGGGTCAGGATGCACCAATTAGTACTCGTACTAACGAAATAGCTATCAAAGAAGAACCAGTAGAGGAGAATATTTCTTCAGCTGTTATAAATATTAAACAGGAAGTGATTGATGTTGAAATCGAGAACACGACACCTGCCGCAAAAATGCCAGTATTAAAATTAAAAATTAAAAAGGAACATGGCACATTGAATTCATCAATAGTAGAGGAGCAAAATATTCGAGTCGAGAAGAAAAAGAAGAAGAAAAAACGAAAAGATGCCGAGCGGAAAGGAGACAAGATGGTAAGTGGATGCATTACTATATAAACCAGGGCTCGAATCGTAACATCCGTTCACGGATCGAAAACGATACGAAAGAAAATTACGTGACGCGTCGGGCAGTATACACTGAATGGGACAAAGAGTACGCTCACGTATATCATAATCCAAAAAATGTTTTTTCTACGTGACGAGTAGTACGACATCGTATGTGACGATTCGAGCCCTGGCCTGGAAAAGTCTGCATGTCATATACAAAATATACTTTTATTTAACTTTTTAATTTTAGTTGGATGGAAATGAACCAACACCAGAGAATCCGACAGTGCAGGAATCTGAAGCGACTTCGCAGAGTCTTTCCCATCCAAACATTTTGCGGCCCATCAAACAAGAACGATTGGATGAAGCCGGCGATGAAATGGAAGGCAGCGGAGCAGAAGAAACGGTGCAGCCGGGCGCAACTGTTATGACCACTATACCTATACCACAATTCCAAATATCAGCTATTTCAAGTGGGGTAGAATTTGGAGATAATACTACGACAGCAGTCGAAGGTGAAGCAGATATAGAGACCAGTGATACAGCGGCAGTCACCACACCAGAGATGACCACTGATGAGGGAGAGATGGAAGATATCAAACCGAACAGAGCTGAGTTAGACCGCTTGTTCAAAATATCAAGCGTTAGCTCTGGTGTGCAGATGGAACAAGAGATTGAGTGCACTTACGAAACTGCAAGCGCCGTAACGTCTACAACCACAAGCCTGGTACCAGAACAGGCAGCCGAAAATTCAATTACCAGTGTCGGTGAAATGGTGCAAAGAAAGGCTCCTAGAAGCGCACCTAAAGCAGTCAAGCATAAGGCGCCAGAACAAAAACCGCGGCCATCGACGCAAGCACGGGCAGCAAAGGCATTCAAATCAACTTCAGGAGTTAGCAAGAACAATGTAAACACAGTTGTTACCTCCAATGAAAGTAATATTGTAGACTATGCTCAAATTAAAATAAAACCTGAACCAGTTGATCGTGGTTATGAGGATGTGTTCAACGCTTACGAAGCAGCTACAAATTCATCCGAGCCACAAGTAGAGCCTCTAAATGAAGGATTGTCGATGGGAGAATTGACGGAGCAAGAGTATTTGAATAATATTGATTTCTCAACTATACAAATCAAACAAGAAAAGGATCTTGATTTATCGGACGTGGAAATGACAAATACACACATCGTCACAAGCGTCATACCAAACGGTATGAAACGTAAACGTTCGAATGGCGAAGAATCTCAATATTCTGGAAATGAGGAGGATACTGATAGTATGGATAATGAAGAAACCGAAGATGACGATGATGATGATCATGATGATGATGATGATGATGATGATGATGAGGATGATGATGATGATTGGGTAGGCGTTAAGAAAGAAGAAGAAGAAAAACGTGAGTATCGCGAACTTGAAATGCCGCCACTGTTGTCAACAGAGGAGCCAGAAACTCCCGAGATACCGCTGCCGGTGTCAGCAGAGCTGCAAGGAGCACTGGAGTTGCCGTCACTAATGTCAACAGAGGAGCCAGAAACTTCCGTGATGCCGCCGCCGTTGTCAACGGAAGTGCAAGAGGCACCTGAGTTACCGCCACTGTTGTCAACAGAGGGTCAAGACGCACTTCAGTTGCCGTCAATATTATCTACAGATGATCAGGAAATCCCTGAAAGAGAAAACGTGTATGGGGAAGAATTACAGTGCGAATTGAATAGAGTTAGCTTTACATGTCCTAATGAAGAAAACATGACTGCCATTTCAGCAATAGAAAATGCTGCTAGTACGTTACTAACAGACAATTCTTCAAAATCAACTGAAGCAGAATTACCGCCGCCGTTTATGATAACAGGCATTTACAGCCAAGCAGATTGTGGCGTGTCTAATCAATTTTCATCATTAATTGACAGAGACTCCCCGTTGGTGGAGACTGGGTTCTCAAATGCTGTAATTGAGCTGCCTATCGCAGCGCCTGCATTGCAAATATCCAGTGTCATGGCTGGCTGCTCGGTAAATTTCAATGATTTTTCAAAACATGCAGAAGAAGAGGCAATGAGTGAATATGGAGTGATCGAAAATTTGTCGGTTTCTGACGTGGAAACCATGCAAGTTGACGATGTGGATGAAAGCGGTGGAACTAATTTATTAGATGGAGCAGCACATAGGAGTATGACTGATGAATCAATGGATTTCACATCAACAGCTCAGACATTGTGCTTGGAGATAAATCAAGATAAAGATTCGCTTCTTAACGCACAACCATTCTCTGATGATGGTTCAGAACCAGTGAACGCACTAAATACAATGCAGATAATGTTTAACCCTAATACGAACGTAGACATGGATATCTCGATTCAACCAAATCCTGAAAACGTAGTCGAAGAGGCCCAAAACGTTCTCAATCACGAAGTCGTCGAAGCGCAAGCCATTCAGCGACTAACACTAGAAGTCATTGAGGCGACACAAAACGTCGAAGAGACTGAAAATCTTATGAATGAGTGCGTAGCTGAAGCGCAATTGCAGCAACAGCAAACTCAATACACCGAAACTCCACCAGGAAGTAGTATGCGACTCAATAATCCCGAATGTGAGAAAAGTTGCAGTAGCAGTAACGAAAGCATCGGTGGTGCTGGTAGCAGCAGCGGTAGCGGCATCGGCAGTGCTAGCGGCAGCATCGGTGCGTTGAGCCAAAGTACATTGATCAATCGCCCATTTATGCTCGACGATAGTAACATAAATGAGATCGCCGAAAATAACAACAATGCAAACATCGAACGAGAATTACAAGACGATGTTGCTTCTACGAATATCGCGAACACGTTCGAAGCGAACATTGTTGCTGACAATCCCGTCGCTGAGCAAAGCAATGCGGCGGTAGTTGAGATAAAAACGGAAGACATAACATGAAAACTAAATTGAGCAATGAAGAAGGTTTTAAATAGTGAGAGTTCAATTAGTTTAAGGTAATTATTTGCAAAACATACAATTACTTGGTTTTAATATTTTCATATCGTTTGGTTTCGCGTTAATTATTTCAATGCATAAGTGGCGCAATAAGATCTATGTATGTATTTAAGCTTCTGTATTTCAATTGTTTACTTTTGTATATGTTTAAACATATGTTAGCTTAAGTTTGTTTCATTTAAAATTTACATACATACTTAATAGGAATGAGAAACGCTACAAAGCGTTTCCTTTAACTGTGTGTATTTCTTGCAAATCCAATTGTACATATGTAGATATGCATAAATGTGCTTGAATTTGTAGACATACAAATACAGGCACATATGAAGGGGCTGGAATCAAAAGGATATAAGTAGGTCTGGCATTATTTTGAGATAACTAAGGTTAAAGTTGATTTCTTATTGTTAATTCTGGGTAAATGCATTTGAAATGATTCTTGCCTAAATGAATGCAGGTTAATTAACTAATTCTCTTTGGCAACGAATAAACACTCTATTTAACTTAACAAATATGGGTATAACTTATATTATCAAAAAATGTCACTTAGACGCTTATGATTCTAACCCCTTCATATATGTATGCATATGAATTTATTTATGTACCCCGATATACATCTCGCTTCACTTAAGCAGACACATTTTTTCATTAGGATTCAGGGAAATGTTGAAGCTGTTTTTGATACACTTTTTTGTGCTGATTACGAATCCGTAAGTATAAGGATTCCACCAGCTCCAGATTTTGAGAAAAACGTGTAATAAAGTGTAGAAAAATCGCGTTTTTGCAATATTTGGGAAGCTCTAGCACAAAAAGAAAAGGTGATAGAATCTTTCACTTAGGCTTAAATTAAAGCTAGAACTCTCGAATACAATCCTTAAAAATATCATCCCTGCACCTGGACCCTAAGGCCATTTATAGTCATTTAACAAACAAATACTGGACAATTTTGCTATTGAAAACCAAAAATTGTGTCAAAATCAGGTATTGCTGTTAAATAAATGGCTATAAGTGACCTTAGGGTCAATATGCAAGGATAGTATTTTTTGGAATCGTAGTCGAAAGTTCAAGCTTTAATTTAAGCCTAAATAATCATTTATTTAAATGCGGCAGGGACTAAACTATAAATAAATGCCTATAAGTGACTATCAAGTCAAGGTGCACGGATGGTATCTTCAGAGATAGTATCGAGAGTTCTAGCTTTAATTTAGGCCTTAGTGACACTTTGTTTCTTTGCTAGAGCTTGCAAAAAACGCGATTCTTTGACACTTTGAACTCGTTTTTCTTAAAATCTGGGGATGATGGAAACTTTAAGCTTGCGGATACATAATCAGCACCAAAAAGTCTATCAAAAACAGCTTTGACATCTGCCGCAACAATTTTTTCCCCCATTTTTCTCGGCCTGTGTAATCTTAAGAAGCTGATCTAACCAAGGATGTTCCTTAATTGTGTATTGCCTTCTTGTTTTTTCTACATTTCGTGTACCATACAATGCAGGGCCCGGGCTCGAATCGTCACATACGATATCGCATTAGTCGTCAAGTGAAAACACATTTTTCGGATTATGACATACGTAAACGTACTCTTTGGATTGCGGTCGATAATAATTTTTAAAATTCTTCCCAAATTTCGTTTGGTCCATGTGAGCTTAGTGATATCTGAATCTAAATTCAGAAAAAATCAATTGTTTAATGCTGTTTAACTAAACGTTACATAAGAGGCAACTACATAAGTCGTGGTTTCTTTTTTTACCCTTTCGGTGTTCAAAATTGATCAGTCTTTGAAATGAGATTAAAAAGGAGCTTCTTCGATGCTTTCAAGTCCAGGAAAAAATGTATCTATTCAAGTGAAACGGGGGGTATGTATTTTCATAATCATTTCTTCATGTCTAAATTATAGTGATTGCAGATGTAATATTTACATACATACATACGTACATGGATGTAACAAATGCTCCAATATACACATATAAGGTTTAGTTTCACTGTGTACTCCCGCGCGTTAATCGACTGTAGTTTGAACGAAAATCAGTTTCATTCGCACCAAGACAAAATCAAAAAGCTTTTTATAAAAAAATGTATTATGCTAAGATTTTGGTGAATGGCAATTCTTTAAAAATTTGTAAACTAAGTACATACATATATGTGTGAAACAGAGAAGCATTATTCACTTTCTTTTGTAAGCAAAGATTACCACAAATAATATATGTATGTATGTATAATCACATAATGTAGATCACAAATGATTTCGTAAGAGAAAATATTAGCAACGCTATCAATTAATAATTTGAATATACATTATAATTGTATGAAAACGTAAATATTAACAAATTTAATAATAAATAATTTTTTAAAACAAAAATATGCTTGTATTTGCGTCTTCTATACAGTAATAGTACTTACCACTTAGTTGATCTGAGACGCGCGCCCGGGCGAAAAATATACGGCGCGCTAGTACAATTTTATTTAATTAAGAATGGGGAATGGAATAAAATAAGCTGAGTGTGCGGTATAAACGATAATTCTTTTTTCTGTTTTTTGAAAGGCCCACGAATGCCATTATTTTTGGGGTCATAAGTAAGAACCGCCTAAGTCACCTTAGGAAAGAATGGAGTTAAATATGCTATCGTATTCTACTATTCCACGTGTGTGTGGAATCCCTATTTCGCCAGCTACGGTTTTTCTCGAATTCATGTTTTTTGACTTGGGGCCGTTTTCTGAAGTAACCTTTAACTTTAAAGCTCACTTTATATTTAAAGGTTGGATTAAAAATATAGCTATGTCTAGTAAATATAAGCATTTCACTTATCGGGTTTTAACGTATGTATGTTTCTTGGTTGTAAACCAATTTAAACCCGATAATAAAATGCTTTACTTTAGACACAATCATAAATTTTAATCCAACCTTTCAAAATAAAGTGCGCTTTGTAGTTACAGGGTATTTCTATGAATTGAGAATCTTCCTCATTTTTTTGAAGTCGGTTAAAAATTGTTCACATCGCAGCATTCTTCAGAATTTTCGTAAAAGAATCGAAGAAACTTGGCATGCTTTACAGGGATAACATCGATGAAACGCTCATAACAGATTCTTATGGTGGCACGGATCCGAGTAACTGGAAGCCGCTCACATCGAGCTGTACGTAGATCATCCGTTCGACACAGCGATATACAGAACGGCGCTCAACAGCATGTCGGCAAGGTCCTCCCTCCAACCATACGACCTGATAGCTGATACGACTGTGTAAAATGACGATGTCGGCTATAAAAACCCACCGCCATCAAATAAACGCATGCATATGCATGTCATTTTAGTGATTTTCATTTTCTTTTTATTAGATATATTTTAACTTGATTACACAAACGTAGAATGGTAATTATTATTATTTTTTTGTATTAATAATTTAAATTAAAATAATATTTCACCTAAACAATTATTACTCGTATGAATCGGGGCTATTTCTGAATCCGTAGTAGTCCGATTTTCATGAAATCTACGGAAATGCCATCACTGAATTCGAATTGCCACGAGTATTCAAAGTAAATATACGTACATATGTACATTAGGGCGCATCATTAAAAAAAGTGGTACTGTTTATATGGTTTATAAAATTATATATTATGTGTTCAACTTGCGTGGTTATCTGGGCTCAAATCGTAACATCCGTTTACGGATCGAAAACCATACGAAAGAAAATTACGTATACGTCAGGCAGTATAAGCTGAATGAGACAAAAAGTACGTTCACGTACGTCATAAATGTCTTTTAATGTGACGAGTAATACGATATCCTATGTGACGATTCGAGCCCTGGTTAAAAACTGACTGTAAACTGAATCAAAAATACATATAAGCACATAACCACAGGTGTGAACACTCCCACTATATTTTACTAGTTTCGCAAAAATATTTCGGTAGGATATTAAGATTTACGTGAGCGAACGGACGGATTTGAAAAATTCATCGGAAAATCTGATTTTTTTATAAATAAAATTAGTTTTTAGAAATATATTTCCGAAAAATCATCTTAGATGATGGAAAAGTTTAAGTTGAAATCGCCTACATAAAAATCATTAAAAATTGTATCAACAGAATCAAAATAATGAAGTTTTTAGAATTATGTATTTTCAAAACGGTCCAGTCCACATAAAGCTCTAACCAGAATTACAGCGGACGACGGTAATGCGGACAGCGGTAAGTGAACAGGTGTACAGTTGCCGTAGTGAAATCCGTCAGAGTAAACACAATTGCGGCGCATGACGGCTTTCGGCAGTTGTCATTTTGATTTGAAAATTATCATTAAAATTAAATATTTTTTTGGTTCGTGCGTGCATGTACATTTGCTGTAAATAAAAATGGATTAAAACATTGGAATACTTGTGTGTGGGCGGTAAAAATAGAAATAAATTTATATCAACCGAACAACGTCGGCGGTAAAAAAAACGCTGCCGTCGCAGTTATGAGCCATTCCATATGCCTTTGTGTAAGTTAAATTTTGACAGCGGTTAACCGTCGATCGCTATAATTCTGGGTAGAACTTAAATCTTAATGAGGTTGTTCACACTTGCCTGGTTATCCGGTTATCTGGTTAAAAATTATTATTGTGTAGTGTAAACTGAGTAAAAAATATAACCACATAACTTGATAACCAGGTAAGTGTTAACGACCTCAATATATTTCCGAAATATTTTAGGGAAAATTCTAAAATATAATGTGGGTGTTCACACATGTCTGTTTATCAGGTTATCGGGTTATGTTGTTATATTTTTTTATCCAGTTTACAACAATAAAATGCACTATAGAATAATAATTTTAACCAAATAACTAGATTACGAGGTAAATATGAACACTCACCATATAATTTTATACCTTCGGTGGAAAAACCGCAACCTTTTTTTGGTGAGGCACCCTAATGCAAAAACATATGTACATATATGCTACGTTCGTAGCTATTCGAATTCAGTGATAGCATTTTCCTGGATTTCTCGAAATAGCGACAGCCCTGAATATGATTCCAGTAGGTATTTTTGTCTTTTTTTTATAATTTGCATTGCAAATATTTATGTAATGCCAAGTCCCATTATACATTAAGTTTATTAAAATATACATCATTTGTTTTTATTAACCGCTAAATAGCAACGCATTGCTAACTTACTTAAGAAATGACTATTTTTTTTTTGCATTCAATGCGTAGTGTTAACTTTACTAAGTAATATATAACTTAGGTAGGTAATTTAGTGAATTGATATAAGTAAATATGTACATAGACATTTAAATAAATTTGTGGTAGATTTCACGAGAAAATATTTCTATCATTTGATTATTTTAATTATGCTATTGTATACCACACATTTAGATTCAATGTTACAAATTTTCACAATTTCGGCTAATTAAACTCAGCAAATGTTGCCTGCATATGCATTAATGCTGTACACTTGCACATAAGTATTAGAGTGGAGCAAGAAAAAAAAATTGATTTCGAAATTCTAATAGCGCGGAAAAGTAGCGTAACTTGATCACATTGAACCATGTTAAACTGTTTTCCAATCGATAATATTTACGATCGCCCTAAGAGCCTTAAAGTTTCGAAAAATCTCTCAAATTATGGTTCACACACACACTGTCACCTAAAAAATTACCAATAATCCATGACATTTTTTAGCAATTTGAAACTTGTACTTTGTTGTACTACAGTTTAGTTAAAAAAAAAAAAGAATAAAGAACCATAAATTGAGAGATTTTTCGAAACTTTGAGGCTTTAGGAGTGACCGTAAATATTTTCCGATCGGAAAACGATTTACAACGGCGCAATATTATCATATTTGCAACTTTTCCGCACCTTTAGAATTTTGAAATAAAAAAAAAAAATGTTTTTTTCCGCTCCACTCTAATTAGTCATACATATGTAAGTACATATGCATGAAAATTGCTCGCTGTGAATTCACCATATGCATACGCTATTGCTCTCATCAGTATGAAATGACCATGCAAATATTTTAAAGCGAAGATAAGTAGCCTTATCGTGAATTCCGTGTGAACAACTATCTATTCCCAAAAATTATAAGCCCAATTTGTTTTTGTTTTGCTTGTTAGTTTATAGTTGCGTTCGATAACAAAATTAGCCAACACCAGCCAACAATCAAAATCAAGAGAGTAAGCGAAAATTCTCTCCCAAAGAGATGAAAAAGCAAAAAAGTAAACGAACAGGAAATTAGCCATTACTTGCAAAAACCGGAAGAAGAAGACACACCACCTGACTTTGTTTATGTTTTATTTGTAAACAAACTGAAATTCATGTTGCCTCCATAGAAGAAAAAGGGAAAGTGAACGTTTAATGTTCGCCAGGAACATTTCTAGAAGTAAAAACTAGTTGGCGCTATTATAAAGTCCCATAGCAGGCAGCCAAAAAGCATATAAATACCAAAACTCGGTAAATGCAATTTTGTTTGTTTACAAAAATTGCAACCATATGTTTTGTGATCATATGTTTTCGTGTTGGATAATTTTTGCTGGCTAAAATTTTGCCAGTACAAAATGAACGCTTCTCTTGCATCAAAATGAACGCTTGCTCTCTCAATTTTTGTGTGTTGGATAATTTTTTGCCGTTATCGAACGCCATCCAGTAAAAATTTGGAAAAACTATTACAAATCTTTGACTTATCGAACGCACCTCATGATAACGACTTATTCACATGGTATTGCCGATAGGTCCGAATTTTTCTCCTATAATTATTTAATGATTTTTTTTTATTGTATTGGATATTTTTCTTTTAGCTCAGTTTTTGTGTTGTTGTAACGAAAATAGTGCATCATTTTAGGTTTGTAGGTAAATATTAATTTTTAGTTAATAGTTATTAATTTATTTATGTATGCATATTAAGTATGCTTTATAATATTCTCTCACAATCAGTCGATATTTGACCTGCTTTGATGCAGTTCCGTCTTCACAATTCCATCACTGGTACATATGTAAGTATGTATGTATATCTGTATGCATTTATGTTCATACATATGTTTAAGTTGATGTTTTATAAAATTGTACATACATATATGTAATAGTAAATACCAGGAACGAAAAAAAGGTATTTTGTAAAATGTTTATTAAAATAATCAACATGCAACATCTGTTAGAAATGATGTACAAAGTTTTTTTAAATCCTTTTTAGAAAACTTCTTGCGAAAAGAGGCAAAAGTCGCAAAATAGAAGGGGTTACAATATTTTCCAAAAGGATTGCTCGTGAAGTTTTGAAAACGAGAATTCTATTAACATACCTGGTGGATTCTCGAAGCCTTGCAAAGCCCTGCACCTGTTATAGATTATACGGTAAAACCCGGTTTTCC